CTGACTCATTTGAAAAGACCCTGATGCTGGGAAAGATTGAAGGCAGGAGGAGAAGGGGACGACAGAGGATGAGATGGTTGGATGGCATCACCGACTCGATGAACATGGGTTTGGGTAGACTCTGGGAGTTGGTGATGAACAGGGAGGCCTGGTGTGCTGTGGCTCATGGGGTTGCAAAGAGTCGGACACGACTGAGTGACTGAACTGAACTGAACAGATTTTAATGTAACAGACTATGAAAAGTTCTTGATATGGTTTCAGATTTCACATTGCTACTGCCTTAAAGGAAACTACCACTTGTCAAATTTTGGTGCAGTATCAAAGAATATTCATAGTTATCTTGAAAGGCTATAAAAATATACCTCTCTTTTCTAACTATATATTTGTGTGAGACTGGATTTTTTTATGTATACTTCAATTAAAACAACATATTACAACACACCGAGGAAGAATTTTGGCCACCTGATGTGAAGAGCTGACTCATTTGAAAAGACCCTGATGCTGGGAAAGACTGAAGGTTGGAGGAGAAGGGGGTGGCAGAGGATAAGATGGTTGGATGGCATCTACTCAATGGGCATGAGTTTGAGTAAACTCCGGGAGTTGGTGATGGACACGGAGGCCTGGTATGCTGCAGTCCATGGGGTTGCAAAGAGTTGGACATGACTGAGTGACTGAACTGAGGAAGAATATCTAAGAATCCAGCTTTACTAAGCCAGACATTAATTTGCAAGAGACTTGTTTTTTAATATATTTTAAAAATTTATTTTATTTGGCTGCACTGGGTCTTAGTTGCAGCATGTGGGATCTAGTTTCCTGACCAGGGATCAAACCTGGGCCCCTTGGACTGCAAACGCAGAATCTTAGCCACCGGGCCACCAGGGAAGTCCCTCTGCAAGAGATTTTTAAAACAATACCAATCTTTTGACTAAACTTCTTTTAGGAAAATATAGTTATTTTTCATATAAATATTTATGGTAGCATGTAATGGGCTTATTATTATTTTTAATGAATATTTTTAAAAATTTGTTTTAATTTCTAAGCTTACAAATATTGATAAAGTAAACAAAATCTCAGTAATTCTCAATAATCATTAAGATTTTTTTTTTTTTGGATGGAAATAACCTTTACTTAACACAATCATTAAGATTTTAAAGGGGTCCCAAGACCAAAATGTTTGAGAATTACTGATCTAGTGCAACCCTCTCCCCTTGTTCCCCCAATTTCTAGATGGGTAAACTGAGGTTTGGAGTGGAAAGGGTCCCTTCCCAGGGAGATTGTGGCTGTGGTCCTGACACTCCATATTTGGTGTAAGGTATACAGCAAAGTGATTCAGTTACACATATACATATATTCATTATTTTACAGACTCTTTTCCCATATAGGGTATTACTATGAGCTTTTTAAAAAAAAGGTCTTTCTCTATACACATACCTCCCTCTACTTTATGACTGCTAGGTCCCTGTAACAAACTTCTTGGGGAAACTGTTTACACTCACATCTCTGCTTTCTCATTTTTCACTCACTCATTCAATAAATATTTGAGAGCTAACTATGTACCATATACAGTACTAGGGGCTGATAATTCAACAATGAATTAAACAAAATCCTTGCTTTTAAAAATATACATCCTAATGACGGGAGACATCCAGAAAAATTGTCCAGAGCTTGTAAATGGGCTTGTAAATCCCAGAAGATTACTGGGTGATATTTTATTGTAGTGCTGGGGTATACCTTTGATTAAGGGACTTTCCAGGTTGCGCTAGTGGAAAAGAACCCACCTGCCAATGGAGGAGACATAAGAGATGTGGGTTTAATCCATGGCTTGAGACCTCCTGGAGAAAGGCATGGCAAACCACTCTTATATTCTTGCCTGGAGAATCCCATGGACAGAGGAACTTGGCAGGCTACAGGTCCATAGGGTCGCAAAGAGTTGGACATGACTGAAGCAACTTAGCATGTATGCATACCTTTGATTGACTTCACATTACTAGGTAATCTTACAACTTTGTACCAATAGAGGTTAACTTGTAAAAAATTGATGGCAATGCAAATCTTGTCTGCAAGCAATGCAAATAATTCTTATCCATAGAAATGAAAATGAATTTTTGTCCACTAGAGATGGAAATTAATTCCCTCTGGTAAAAGAGATAATCTCTAACAGTACAGTTTATTGCTTAATAGGATATTAGTGTTTCTGCAACTATTAGCAAATTCATTTCAGCATTCGTCTGGCTGATAATCCAAATCTCTGAAACTCAAATTTCTATTTGAACAAGTCTTACCATCTCACTGGTTCCCTCATTATTTAGGATAATAATGGTTAAGCAGTTTATGATGATGAATAAAGTCTTTGGCACATGTTCATTTTATAATTTTATAAGTTATGTTTTTAACCTTTTGAAAATTATTTAGCAGACTATAAGAAAATAAATACATATCAGGTGACAAGTCATAAGAATAACACCAGGGTAAGAGGACAGCTATTAACTGGTGGTGTCATCTGTACTATTATAGATAAGGTCAGTCAACAAGTTCTGTACTTCTCTCTCCTCTGTAAGTGGAATTCATCCTCTTCTCTCCATCTTCACAGCCACAACACAATCCAGACCATGATCTTCTCTCATCTGATCTCTCTACCTTCCTCCCATCTACAGTGATCATTGGCTATCAGATGATCATTTTAAAAAACAATTATCTGATCATGTCCCTCCTTTTCACTGGCTCCTATGGTGAAGTCAAGTTCTGCAGGGTCTCAGTTCAGTGGCTCAGTCGTGTCAGACTTTTTGCGGCCCCATGGGCGCACACCAGGCTTCCCCGTCCATCATCAACTCCCAGAGCTTGCTCAAACTTATGTACATCAAATCGGTGATGCCATACAACCATCTCATCCCCTGTTGTCCCCTTCTCCTCCTGCCTTCCATCTTTCCCAGCATCAGGTCTTTTCCAAGGAGTCAGTTCTTTGCATCAGGTGGTCAAAGTACTGAAGTTTCAGCTTCAGCATCAGTCCTTCCAATGAATATTCAGGACTGATTTCTTTTAGGACGGACTGGTTGGGTCCCCTTGCAGTCCAAGGGACTCTCAAGAGTCTTCTCCAGCACCACAGTTCAAAAGCATCAATTCTTTGGCGCTCAGCTTTCTTTATAGTCCAACTCTCACATCCATACATGACTACTGGGAAAACCATAGCTTTGACTAGACAGACCTTTGTCAGAAAAGTAATGTGGCCTGAAGCTTACAAAATTCGGGAGACTGTCTTTTTAGAAAAATACAAAAATTAGGTATGTGCCTTGAACAGGGGAGTACAAATGACATGTCCTGAAACTTCAGCTTCATTGAAAAACCTCCTCAGTAGCCTCGTTTTTCACTATCTCTGGATCTCTCTCCATACAAGTTCTGCCTAGAAGGCTCTTCTTGCCTCATTTTGCCTACCTAACTACTTCATGGGAAATAGATGGGGAAACAGTGAAAGCAGTGTCAGACTTTGTTTTTTTGGGCTCCAAAATCACTGCAGATGGTGATTGCAGCCATGAAATCAAAAGACACTTACTTCTTGGAAGGGAAGTTATGACCAACCTAGATAGCATATTAAAAAGCAGAGACATTACTTTGCCAACAAAGGTCCCTCTAGTCAAGGCTATGGTTTTTCTAGTGGTCATTTATGGATGTGAGTTGGACTGTGAAGAAAGCTGAGCACTGAAAAATTGATGCTTTTGAACTGTGGTGGTGGTGAAGACTCTTGAGACTCCCTTGGACTTCAAGGAGATCCAACCAGTCCATCCTAAAGGAGATCAGTTCTGGGTGTTCATTGGAAGGACTGATGCTGAAGCTGAAACTCCAATACTTTGGCCACCTCATGTGAAGAGTTGACTCATTGGAAAAGACCCTGATGCTGGGAGGGATTGGGGGCAGGAGGAGAAGGGGACGACAGAGGATGAGATGGCTGGATGGCATCACC